CTCCCCGGACAGGGTGTGCATGGGCTCAGAGTATGCTTGGTGAGAGGGAGGCGGCAGCCAGCAGGTCCCAGTGGGTGGTGGGCCCCCCCGCCCCTCCGCCCATCCCTAGGGCCCCTTGCAGGTCTGCCCCGGGCCCCCTTCCCCTGGCCCCACGACAGGAGGCAGTTGGCTCCATCTGTCACTGAAGCTGGCCCTGCCCTCACGGATCTGGTTTCTGGGAGGGCCAGCCCTGGGGTGGCCGCTGGTCAGCGTGTATGCCGCAGAGGCTGGCCTGGCCACCCGGGGAGAGGAGCTAGAGTGGCCCCTGTGAGATGGCCCTGGAGGGCGGCCCGGCCCCTTACTGCGGGTCAGCCCCCATCTCTGCGGGCTGTGGTGGGGGTTCCGAGAGGCAGGGGTGGGGAGCCTTGTTCAAGGCCTGGCCCTGCCTCTTTCTGGCCGGGTGACCTTGTGCCCCTTCACCTCTGAGCCTCCCTCCCCCCTTGGAGAATGGAGCTCATGTGACTGCTGCCAGTGCTGTGCCAGGACCGGCCACAGGAGGTGGGACTGGAGTGTCGCAGCGGGGCCCCCAGGGGCATGGAGACCCTCTCAGGGAGTGGAGAGCAAGCCTACCCCCACCTGCTCAGGAGGCTGATGTTTGAAGGCCATTCTCGTTGCTGGCGTGGACGGTCGACCTGAGTGGGGCGAGAGGGAAGGCCAGGATGAGCGTGATCCGGCCCCTCACCTCCTTCCCGGCTCTCCGACTGAGATGGGGGGACTCACTCCCTGGCTTTCTTCCGACCTCTGAGCACCCTCAATGTCGGTGCCCCCACATGCCTCCTCTCCTCCCTGCACATGCTTTGGGATTCCCCCAGACCCTCAGACGCCCCAAGCTGAGAGCCTTCTGAGGATCCCCGCCCCTCAGCCTGTGTCCTCAGACCCCTACCCTCAGTAGCCCAGGCCTCTCCCCGCCTTCCAACCTGGTCCTCCTCCGTGACTGGAGGCGCTTGCTGTGCGCTCGTGAGTGAGCATCCATCTGCCCCTCCATCCCGCGCCTGGAGGCCCACATCCCCCCACCTCTCTGGTCCCAGCTGCCCGGGAGGCCCTGATCTGCCAGCCTGTGGGCCTACCTGTGGCTCGGCACCATGGTGGGAAGGCCAGTGTGGCTACTGCTGAATTTTCTGGGTGTTTTTCCATAGTGGCGGCTGGGCGGAGGTCCCCACTCCCTCCCCGATTGTCCAGGGCCCCTGAGTAGCCCTGGACCAGGGCGTCTTCTCCCCGTGTCCCTCTGGGCTGAGTGACCTGCAGGGGGCTGGATTTCTGTGTTTTCTGCAGGATTCCAGTTCCCCACAGAGGAAGGAGGCCCGTCTTGGAGGCTGCGCCCAGGGACCGGGGGAAGCAGCAGGAGAGATGGCCACAGTGCCCCCCCCCCCCCAGCTGGGGAGCCTCGAGCCCCCTCCCCTGTCCATTGGTGTGTGGGAACCGGGCTGGGTGTGCTCGCGGCCCTCCTGGCAGGCTGGCCTCTCCTGTCCCTCAAAGTCCAGCACAGAGCTCCTCGTGGAGTGGAGTGGGTGTGCCCCTGGAGGGTAGGGTGGCCGGTCAGTGTCCCCTGCCCTCCCTGCTGGCCGCCTGTGTCTTTCCTCAGGATCCTGCCAGAACCCCAGATGTCTGGGCTTTCGCCCGGTGTCGAGGGCTTTTGTGGTTTGTCTGAGTTTCCGTTCCGCGCAGTTTCAGGATCCTCTCATGTCGAGGGCAGGTTGTGTCTGACTTTCACCCAGCTGTGCATGTGCTGCCTCCCTGTCCCAGCAGGCTGGCAGCCCCCAGGAAGTGGTGGAGGGTCTCGGAGCCTCAGTTTCCCCCGCTGGGAGACCAGGCTCTGTCTTTGCCCTGCTGTGTGCAGCCTGAGTGGGCGCTTGGTGCAGGCTTCCCAGCCGTCCTCAGAGGGAGCACCATATCCCTGCAGGGCCGCCATGAGGCAGGAGTGCCAGTGGCGCCGTGATCTGAGGGCCACCACACAAGGGAAGTGTTGTCTGTGCAGTAAACGGCCTTCTGGAGTGAAGCGGCTGCCAGCGGGCGCGTGGTGGGCACCGGGTGCTGACGGCTTGGGAGCAGGTTCGGCAGGCTCCTTTCCTGTGGGGTGGCTCCGCGGTGAAGTGGACTGCTCCTGCGTCACCTGTCCTTACAGACCTCAGGCCGTGCTCTGAAGACTGCTTCCCAGCCCGGCCGGTTAGGTGCGCCTGCAGGCTCTGATGCCCTGCAGTTCGAGCTGCACGTTTGCCCCGGTGTGTTCACTCCAGAAGACGAGACCCAGGCAGGTGCAGGTGAGGGGCAGGCTTTCCAGCTACTAGAGTTTTATATCTTGTGCCTCGTCTTAAGGTGCTGGGTACCTGTACTTCCCCATCCAGTCCTGGGTTATTGCAGATGAACCCCCCCACCCCCACCACGGGGGTCCTCTTCCCTGCCAGGCGAGGGGGATGGAGCAAGGTCCTGTCCCCCGGCTCTCACAGCTGCTGTGGGGGTGTGGGATGCAGGGTCCTGAGCACCGGAGGAAAAGGGGGCGTTGCCCTCTTCCTTTTGGTGGCATAGAAGCTTCCCAATGCAGACAGGTCGGGGGGCAGTAGGTAGCCCTCAGGGTGCTCGGCTTCAGCCCTGAGTGCTCCTGGTCCTGGCTCCTCCAGACCCCTGTCCACTTTCAACCCCCTCCCCCATCGCTGTGAAGCAAATGCCAGATGTAGTTCACGCGTAAGACTTTCAGTGCCTTTCTCTAAAATGTAAGGGTTTTTAAAAAGTTGTAACTGCAATCCCACTGTCCCCCCACAGTATTAACATCGAGTCCGAAAACTCATCAAGTAGTATTGAAGTGAGCGCCCCCCGGTTCCCTTTCCAGCAAGCGTTTCTTGCAAACTGGCTCAGGGCACTGGTGCTGGAGTCCAGGTGTCGCCTGCCAGCCTCACCTCCCCGCCCCACCCGCCAATTGCTGGCCCATGAAATGGGGCCGGCGCCGCCCTGTCCCCCTTCCAAGCACGTGGGGGGCCGTGTGAGGGGGTTCCCAGGCTGGGCACAGAGGCCATACACAGTAACCCGGCCCTTGTCACAGGGCTGCCATCTTCCTTTCCAACTCCAACCCCAGAAAGCTCTGAGGATGGAGTGTTTTTCCTAATTCTCTTGCAGGTGATCAGAGGCTGCCTGTGGTCCTTGTTTATCCTCAGGGTGAACATAGGGTGTTTTCCTGAAGAATATGGTATTTGGCTTGGGACATTCTCTCAGAGCCTGGGAGTGGGGGTGGGGGTGAGAGACCCCCTACCCCGGAATGGTTTCTGAAACTCGCTGGGTTCTGAAATCCGAAAGGCTCTCCGGGTCGGCACGCCCAGCTCCGAGGAGAGACGGACGATGAGCTGCAGGCCTGAGGGTGATGGTGATTGCTCCCAGCCCTTTTGCTGCCGGACACTAGCTGGCTGCTCGAGTCCTGAGTGGGGTGGGTGCTGGGGCCTCGGGGAAGTCAGGAGTCCCCAGCTCATGGCTGTCTGCAGCAGAGTGGGTGTCCGCGGGGGAGCCCTGGAGGCCGAACGGCCACGGCATCCGCTAGAGAAGAGCGCCTGTCCCCGAGAGACAGTGGGGCACCGTGGTGAGAGCTCTGAGTGCCCTGGGCCTCAGTTTCCCCATCTCTGCCCAGCACCCAGGAAGTGCTGCCATGGGCTGACCGGAGACCCTAGGAAATGGGGTCCCAGCCGGGCTTTCTCTTTTGTGACCCTCTCTTGGTGTCCCCAACCAACCACGACTGGGTTCGACCACGGTATGGGACCGGACCCTCTGGCGCCCCCACTCTGAATTTGCCTTTACTTCTTTCAAGGAGAAGGTGCTGCGGGTCCCCCGGCAGTGGATGCAGGAGCAGGGCCAACTGGCCCCCTTGGCACCTTCCTGCTTTTTCCACTACCAGCTGGAGAGGCCAGGCGGGCAGGGCAGCTGGGCCACTCTCCCCGGGTGGGACCTGGGCGTTTCTCTTCAGCCTGGCAGGGCCGGAGGAAGGGGCTGGGGTGTCCTGCGTTCCCTCAGAGCCTGGGCCCGGTGGGGGACGTGGAGGCTGGGAGAGGTGGAAGGCTGTGTTTGTTTTGGGCAGACGTTATTTAAGTATCTACATGTTCTGGGTCCATTCCCAAGTGTGACCTCGTTTTGTCCACATGGCACCCAGACGAGGGTGACCTTAGGGCTCTGGTCCCTGTCCTTTTGATGTGCTGCATCCCCTCCCTAGGTGGCTTCAGAACCAGGGGCACCTCCTTTTCTTCCAGCTCAAGGGGCCAGCGTCCCCCATCTCTCCAGCCATTGGCCCGGATGTCCCTGGGCCCCCCACATCCGTGTGGATGGCAAGCCGTGGCGCCGTGTCTGTGGTGGGGCTGGGGCAGGGCTGGGAGCACTCCATAGGTGGTGGCTGTGCCGGGCACTCTTCATTTTACAGTTGGGACCCTGGGCTCAGGGAAGTCAGCCGGTGAGGGGGAGCTGGGCTTTGAGCCCTGGCGTGGCAGACGCCCGTGGGTGCTCCTCGCTGCCCTCTGCGCAGCCCTCTTCACGGCTCCAGCCCGAGGTTAGACTCAGGCCTGGGCCTCCGGGAGGGGTGCTGCTGGCCCGGGCGCCTCTTCCTAGGCTCCCCGCTTGGTGTCCTTGCTGGCAGGTGGCAGCAGGCCATCTTGTCCTTAAGTCACTAGGACCTCTCGGCCTGTGGCTGCCTGTGATGCCAGGAGCCAGGTCGGGGAGGCACAGGGTCCTGGGCTTATGTCCCTGAGTCCCCACGTGGGTCGGCCCAGGAGACCCCTGCAAGATGGAGGAGCCTCAGCCTCACGGTCTGTGCAGTGGGCACGATCACTCTGACCTCCGGATTACGTGGGTGCCTCACCCTCAGCAGAGGTGAAGGGCTGTGGCCGTGGCTGACCACCCACGTATTTCTTGGTGTTTTCTCCACTGTCTCATCCAGGGGGACAGCCAGCAAGGTCTGGGCCAGAGGGTGGTGGGGCGCAGCGAGCAGGTGGGTGCTGGCTGATGGTGTCAGCCCTGCTCCTGGACTCGTCACAGAGAGAAGCTGTTCCTGAGAACGCAGGGGCATCGCCAGGCGCTCCGGGCATCTGGGAGACTGCCGGGCACCCTGGGTGTTCGTGAGGCCACAGGCGCTCCAGGGGATCGCTGGGCGCCCTGGGGGCTGGAGTTGAGTTTTTTCAAGGCATCTTGCCCGCTTGTTGTTTTAAACCTCCATGTCGCCTTGTGGCTTTTTCCGTTACTGATTTTGGTTCAGGCCTGAACCCTGTGAGAGGGTCAGCTAGCAGTCTAAGTTTTCATTTCATTCTGGAAGCAGCATTTGCCTTCCTGGTCTCGGAATGTGGCCCTGATCCCCCACCCAGACGGGGAGGCTGACAGGCAGCACAGCTGCGCTGTGTGTCGCCAGCCTGAGCAGCGGGAACTGCGCCTGTGGTTTCCATCCCTGGGCTTTGACAAGTAGGCTCTGTCGGGATTCCTTGGGCCATCCAAGCCATGTGGGTGTGGCCGACTGGATCCCGAGGTCTGCTGTGGGCCGGCCCAGACTTTGGGGTTGTTGCAGCCCTGAGATGGCAGGCTGTCTTTGGGCAGCCGTCTTTGGTTTGTGTTTGAGCAATGTTTCGAAATAGAAATTCCTTTACCCTGTTTTCTTGTTGCAAAAGTAACGTGTTCTTAAAAAAACCTGCCCATTCAGAAATGCAAGCAGGAAATGACAATCCTGTCCTCCTGGGGGCCAGGAGGTGCTTCTCCATCACCTCTCTGCCTTCCAGCGGGAACTTCCCAAGTCGGTGTGGGTGTCCTTCCTTCTTGTTGGCGTCTGTAGTGTCAGTGCACAGATGTCTTCTGGTTTATTCGGTGTCTGTCTGGTTGGAGAAGCGACGAGGGAAGGGCAGGCCAGGTGCTGGCTGTGGCTCTGCTTGGCCTGGCTGTGATGGTGTGCATGCTCCAGTAGGGAGCGACGCAACCTCTTGCTCTGCCAGCCACCCCAGAGGGGACAGCTCGGGGTGGCCTCTGCAGTCTTATGGCCTGGGAGTCCCTCTCTTAGTCCTCCTCCCTCCCGGGGTGGCTCTGGGAGCCGGAGGTGTTTTCCCACTGGAGAGGGGTCCTGCCTGAGCTGCCCATCCAGAGCCAGCACGACCCTTCCTGGGAGGTGGGTCCTGGCGCCCAGGATGGAAGGGGCTTGTGGGGGCCCCCAACCTCTCGCGCTCTGGCTGCCCTTCCTTCCTCCCTGTTGAACTGGTGCCCAGGTTGCCGGGGAACAGAGGACAAGTCAGGAGGGAGGTGTGTGTGGCTGGGGGAGGGCAGCACCCCCTGCCTCTGCTGTGGGGGAGGGCTGTGCACCGCCAGACCCCCCTGGTCATCCTCACGTTCTTGTAGGCATCTGAGAGCGTGAGGTACCCCCTGCCTCATTTCACTGGAGGTGTTCGGGGTGACGTTCTTGTTTGCAAGAAAGGGGGCTCCCGTTGCCATGTGCAACTCCCTGCAGATTAGGGGGCACCTGCCTGCAGGACATGTGCCTGGCACTTTTAGCTCAAGTCCCCGCTAAGCCTCACAGACCCTGCTGGGGTTGGCCATGTTTCCCCTGGGTCGTGGGCAGCTGCGTCATCTACGTCATCTGGGTCCCACTGAAAGTGCGAAGGGGACGCCTGTGCTGGTGGGCAGGACCCAGGAAGCCTCTCTGGCCCTGCTGGCCTCAGGCTCCTGGCTCCTGCTGGGCCACAACGGGGATAGGGGATGCGTTTCCGTGTTTGTGGCTGGAGCTGGCTTCCTGTTCGGCAGCAGGTTGGAGCAGTGTGGTCTGGCGGTCAGAAGAGGGAGGGAGGCAGAGGGCTCAGCCTTGGGTCCTGAGGGCAGTGAGCCGTGCCTGTGCATCCTTGTGTGTGGAGGAGGCCAGCCTGCGCTTGGCTGGTAGTTGTGGGCCCTATGTCCCCACAGGTCAGTTTCAGCCTGTAGCTGCCTTCTGCCCATTCCCTGGCTCCCTGGGCTGTGCAGGAGCACCAGGTACTGGGCACCCGCCCACTGTCCCATACCTGGGGGCCAACGGTGCCCCAGCCGTCTTCTAGGCACTGGGAGGCGCAGGGACACAGCACATCCTCCCTCCCCTCTGGAGCTCCAGGGTCCCGCCGCAGTGGTCACAGCAGGGCTGTGGGTGCTCAGTGTGTGTCCAGCACCGGCCTGAGTGCGTTGTGTGTTTGACTCTTTGCATCTCACAGAACCCCGTGGGGACAAGGGGACCGGATCCCGTGGCTGGCGAGGGGCAGAGCTGGGATTGGGCTGGGGAGGCTGGCCCTGGCATCTGCTCTGCAGCCCTGAACTGTCCAGGGTCCGGGACGTTCCAGGAGGCCCTGGTAGGTGGTGGCGTTGGAGCAGAAAGGCCTGAAGGAGGTGAGGGAATGAGCCTGTCCCTCTGGTGAGGGAGTTCCCAGCAGCCCTGGCAGGGGACGAGTCATGGGTCACGTTGGGTCCTGCAGGCCGGAGCAGGGACGGTGCTTTCACGCTGAGCCGGATGGAGCCACTGCAGGGTTTGAGCTGATCTGCAGCTTGATCCGACTTGGGTTGGTTGAAGCAGGACCACCGCTGCTGTGCAGGCCTGGACCATCCATCAAGGGAAGGGCAGACCCACAGGGGCTTCACAGAGACCCCTGCAGGAGTCAGCAGTGCTCGGGCCAGGCGCAGGCAGACCCTGGCCCTGCTGGACTTCGCTGACCTGCTAGGGGTGGGGCGGGGCAGTGAGGCGTTAGGGTGACCCAGGTTTGCGCCTGGCTCAGGCGGCTGCCGCCCAGCCTCCCATCTGACATCGTGACAAGAACATGTAAAAGGCTATCGTGTAGCAGAGTGCACGCCTGCCCCCCAGATGGAGGGTTCCGCGCGCAGCCCTCAGTCTGTTATGTGCCCTACACGTAGAAGTGGGGCCATTGGCTTTCCCCTGAGAGATCCGGGGACTTTGGCGTTGGGGTGGCCTGTTCATTCTGTTACTGCACACTGTTCCTCCGGGCCCTAGTTGGTCATCTCCTGATGACCTGCAGGCCCACAGTGTCCTCTTCCTCTCCAGCTCTGCGCTTGGAGAGCGTCTCCACAAGCAGGTGGGGGCCGGGGCGAGGCCTGCAGCAGCCTCCCCCCACTTACGAGCGTGCAGGGTCCGACCCGCCTTCTCTCGCCCTCCCACTTAGCCGAGGGCCGGCCGTGTCACAGGCTGGTCGTCATCACAAACCCAGAGCAGGTTCTCATGGTTACGTTAGAACTTCGCTTGGCGGGCGGACTCGCTCGAGAGGGGCTCGGCTCCGCGCCCCGAGTGTGGTTCTGCCACCGTTCTGCCTGCCTGGCTCGGCTCTTTCAGGTCGCTGTTGTAGCTGTCTGCATGTGAACCATTCCCTAAAAAACTGCCAAGGTCAACAACGGTGTAGAGTCAGTCCCAGCAGGCAGGCGGTTGGTGGGCCGTGAGCGGAGTGGCCTTGTGTGCAGCCCTCACCCGGACGGCTGCCTTCCTGCCGGTGCGCTTCCCCACCTGCCCAGGTGGCAGGTGCTCACGTTATCCCCCCTCACCAGTGTCTCCTCCCCTCGTCTGAGAGCAGTAGTCAGAGAGCGGTTCTGTGACAGGTGAGGGTTGCCTTGATCAAGGTGAGCGGCTTGAGCGGGCTGAACTGGCCTTGCAGTGACCACGGGTGTGCTCAGGGGAGCCAGCCAAGGCTGGGGCTCCAGCTGACCAGCCTGTCCCTGCCGTCCCTTCTCCCCCATAGGTGCTGCCTGGTTGGGCCCAGAAATGGGACGTCGTGCCTCCAGGGGCAGCACAGAGGAACTGAGGGCCTCCCCGAGCCGCTGCTGTGACGGCCAGTGAGCGAGCAGCCGGAGGATGTCCACCACCACGACGGTCGCCCCCGCGGGGATCCCGGTGGCCCCGGGCCCCGTGAACCCGCCACCGCCCGAGGTCTCCAACCCCGCCAAGCCCGGCCGCAAGACCAACCAGCTGCAGTACATGCAGAACGTGGTGGTGAAGACGCTCTGGAAACACCAGTTCGCCTGGCCCTTCTACCAGCCCGTGGACGCAATCAAGCTGAACCTGCCAGTGAGTCCCCCGTCCCCGCCGCCGTCCCCAGCCCCTCTGTTGCCCCGACTCCTCTGGCTTTGGCAAAGGTGGTGCCCATGATGTGGCTGGTGCTGGTAAGCCAGGTACAGCCTGTGCCTCAGGAGCCTGTCCTCCGGTGCAGGGACAGCCTAGGGCCCACTGTGACCAAGGAGCAGAGGGTGTGGGAGAATGGAGGGCGGCGGCCCCCTGAGTGCCGGGAGCGGGGAGAACCGTGCCTCGAAGGGGCCGGCGGCGATAGGGCTCCAGAGCAGAGGCTCAGCCGTGTCTTCGTTCTGTCCCCGTGCATCCTCCTGTGCTCGAGGTCAGATGCTCAGTGCGGGCTGAGGTGCGTTTTGGGGGACGGCACCCCAGCTGCACATTTCAGTGCTGACTGTCTAGTAGCTTTCTTCTTTGGACTCAAATGGAGAACCCCGAGTGACACGAGGGGAGCCCTGGGCTGGCACTTGGTGGCCTGGGTCTGGGCCCAGCTTGGCCCCTGCACACCCATGGGCCCTCGAGCGAGGTTTGGAATCCGTGAGGGGGCTTGGGTCCATCCCCAGAGTGGACTCCGCTCTGGGGTATGCCCCGCTCCGCGGTGCTGGGCATCTCGGAACCTCCCCTGCACGTAGGACCCTGGTGAGGCGAGAGGTTTGGCAGGAGCCTGGAGCTGGCCGAGTGCTCGCCCCAGACCGCATGCCCAACTGCCCTCGATGACCAGAAGCTGCCTTTGGCCAGGCCCCGGGACCCGGCTTCTCTTTGAAGACCACTCTGTACAGTCTGTGTGCTTGGGAATTGCAGAAATAGGGATGCCGAATCCGTTAGTAACGCCTCTGAAAATCTCTTTCCTAGGATTATCATAAGATAATAAAAAACCCAATGGATATGGGGACGATTAAGAAGAGACTAGAAAATAACTATTATTGGAGCGCGAGTGAATGTATGCAGGACTTCAACACCATGTTTACAAATTGTTACATTTATAACAAGGTAAGAAGACCCTGCGGCATGGACCCCAGGTGCCATTGCAAGCTGCCCACTGGCCTCGGGGAGAACTGGGGGGGGGGTGAAGTGCCAACCCGGGGGCAGCCCTGGCTGGGGTGGCACGCTGGGGACCCTTGTCAGGACTGCATTGCTCCAGGCAGAGGTGCCAGCTGGGCCGGGCACTTTGCAGCAGTTCTCGGACGGGCTCAGAGTGTGTCACAGCCCTGCGCTCAGCCCTTCTCTGGCCCCGGTCCCCACCTGCGAGTCCCACTCATGGCCCATCTCAGGTGTCACTGCTTGGCGTGGGCCCACATCCCCCGCTGCAAAGAGGGAAATTGGAATGGCCTTTTCAGAGGGAGCCGATACACACCAAACACTTTAAAACATCCGTACCCCCAGACCTAGAAACCCTGCCTCTAGAAATGCGGGAAGAACTCGTCTAGGCTCCTGTCGTGGACACTCGCCCCACTGCATGCACAGCCATTGGAGGTTGGCTAAATGCGCTGTGATGTCCACGTGCAGCTGCCCGAAATGACTAGAGCGCTCCACGACAAGGGGGAACATTCACAGGATGGTTCCAGTGAGAGGAGCCAATTCGGGAGGCTCCCTACAACCCAGTCCTGTGGGTTTCTGGGTATTTTTTTTTTAATTTTTTTTTTTTTTCCTTTTTCTCCCCAAAGCCCCCTGGTACATAGTTGTGTATTCTTCGTTGTGGGTTCTTCTAGTTGTGGCATGTGGGACGCTGCCTCAGCGTGGTTTGATGAGCAGTGCCATGTCCACGCCCAGGATTCGAACCAACGAAACACTGGGCCGCCTGCAGTGGAGCGCGCGAACTTAACCACTCGGCCACAGGGCCAGCCCCTGGTTGTTTTTTAATAGCAACGTGGTGGAGTAAAGATGAGCGGAAATCCTGAGCCGAAGGCTCTCTGCTTCCCCACGTGATGGGATGAAGGGTGGTTTTTATTCCTCGTGCTTTTCTGAACTCTTTCAAGAGTTTCCACGTTAAAGGATATTCCTTTTGCCTTCTTCCTGCCCCACCAAATCTCTTAGCAGATTTAAAAAAAATTTTTTTTTCTAAAGATTGGCACCTGAGCTAACATCTGTTGCCAATCTTCTTTTTTCTTCTTCTTCTTCTTCTCCCCAAAGCCCCCCAGCACATAGCTGTATATTCTGGTTGTGAGTCCTTCTAGTTCTACTATGTGGGACGCCGCCTCAGCGTGGGCTGATGGGCAGTGCTGGGTCCGCACAGAGGATCCAAACCTGCGAGACCCTGGGCCACCAAAGCGGACAGCACGAACTTAACCACTCAGCCACGGGCTGGCCCCTCTTAGCAGATTTTTGAATGATGTTTTCTTGAGCTGCACCCGGTGATGTCTTTTGCAAATGCACAGCTCCTTTCCCTGCATGTAACCTGGGCTCGCCCTGTATCTCCAGCCCACAGATGACATAGTGCTCATGGCGCAAGCCCTCGAGAAAATTTTTCTGCAGAAAGTGGCCCAGATGCCCCAGGAGGAAGTTGAATTGTTACCCCCTGCTCCAAAGGGCAAAGGCCGGAAACCAGCTGCGGGAACCCAGAGTGCAGGTAAGAGGGTGGACAGGCGTGGCGTCCTGTCCTGGGCCCCCGGGTGGATGGGCTGGGTTGCCAACGACATGGTCTCTTCTTTGGGGCCCTGGCCCGTCTGAGCTCAGTTTCCACGTCCATGCAGTTGGGGCAGTGATGAGATATGAGCTCCAGAAGCTGGGTCTCAGCTGTGCGTGGCCTGGAGGCAGTTGGAGCCATGGCCAGCCCTTGACATTGTTGCTGTCTGCCTTTGAGCCCGCTCTGGGAAGGAGATGGTCGTCTCGCCATGTCCCGGGGCTCCTCCTCCCAGCCCTGGCTCTGAGGCCCCCTCTGCCGGAAGCCTGGACAGAAGCTGGGCTGTCCCTTTGTCCCCTCCCTAGGACTTTGCCTCTTGAGCATGTGTTGTATGCCCTGTGACGGGAGAGGAGCTGTGTCACCTGTCAGGGAGGGGGTGGGGATTAGGGTTAGCACCGGGAGCCCCGGGGTCTTACCTGGTCCAGGAAGCTGGAACAAGGTGCGTCCCAGTGGACTGACTGGGTGGCCCAGCCCTCGAGACAGGCCAGGCTGGATCACCAACACTGCCACTGTCCTGCTTTGCAGGCAGGGCCTGTGGGTGGTCACGCCTCTGGTTCCTGATGGAGTCTGAATTAACCCTCGCTTCCTGGGGTATGGGCCCAGCTCTCACCCCCCAGACTGTGCGGCTCCTCTTGGCTTTCTCATTCAGACCTTGGTCTCTGGCCAGTGGGGAGAGGCTTCCCATTTGTTCGGTGAGCACCCATGGCGGCAGGCCTTGTGGCAGCAGCTAGATCAGGGCCAGGAGTCTCAGGAGGATGGGCTCCCTGGCGCCTGGTGTGCTCTGGCTAGAGGGGATGGTCCAGGAAGCTTCCAGAACTATGGCGTATGTCTGGCCGGTGGAGCCTGGAATGCTCAACTTCCTCTCCTTGTCTTCAAGGTACGCAGCAAGTGGCGGCCGTGTCCTCTGTTTCCCCAGCGACCCCCTTTCAGAACGTCCCCCCCACTGTCTCCCAGACGCCCGTCATTGCTGCCACCCCTGTGCCAACCATCACTGCAAACGTCACTTCGGTCCCCGTCACCCCAGCTGCCGCCCCACCTCCTCCCGCGACGCCCATCATCCCCGTAGTCCCTCCCACGCCGCCCGTTGTCAAGGTGAGCGTCCCTGGGGCGTGAGGTTGGCCAGTTGGCTGGGGTCTGAGTGCGGCCGGGGGTCCTGGATTCGGGCGGGCGCAGGGTTGGGCGGTGAGAAGCTCTGCCGCCTTTCCCCGGGTGCTGGCCGCCCATTGGGTGTTTGGTTTGTGTGACTCTGGAGGGGTTCTCTCCATGCCAACGAGGCCAGGCCGCTGCTCCTGACACAGACGAGGAGACCGAGGCTCGGGGGGCTGCAGGTCACACAGCTGGTGAGGGCGGGCTGTGCTTGAACCCCGGCGTCTCCAGCCTGAGCCCCGGCCTTTGCAGTCCACGGTCGTGTGGGGAAGGCGCAGGGGACGACAGGGTGGGAGGGCCCTGCTGGACCCCACTCACACTTGGATTTACGGTTGGCATGGGGAGGTGACGGCCAGGGCCACGTGAGGAGCCAGCCCGCAGTGTGCGGTGGCCTCCACCTTGTGCCCCTCTTAGCGTGACCACCAGCACGTGTGTCTCCCCTGCTTGGCTGGGAGCTTTTCATGGCAGGGGCTGTCCTGGCCGGGTCCGGGCTCCGAGTGGGTGCTCCCTGTGAGGACGGCCAAGTCCCCCACTCCTAGCCGGCCCCATGCTGGGCACTGACGTGTGTCATCTTCTCCAATTTGACCCTCACAGCGACCCTCTGGGCAGGCAGTATTTCCCCCATCTTACAGATGAGGAAGCAGGCGCTCAGGGGTTAAATGGCTCCCCCAAGGTAAAACGCCACCTCCGCCGCTTCCCCCTCCCCCGTGGCCTTCACTGCCTGCACTTCCGGGCGGCGCCTGGCCGGGCCGCCCCACACAGTGCCCGGCTGTTTTGGAGCATGTCCCGTTTGCCATGGCCAGATGAGCCCCTCGGGCCCTGTGCGGCACGCGCTTGGCATCCCGTGGGCCGTTAAGTGTTGGTGGGTAGCAAGCTCGTGCCCCTGCCAGCCTGGGCGCGATGGCTTGGCTGGGGCAGCGACAGTGACCGTGGTGGCGCTCTAGACAGCAGAGCCCAGTGCGGCCGTTGGCCAGGGCGCTTGTGGCCCCGAGGGGCTCCTCTGCCTGAGCTGAGGTGAGGGGAGCCTGCTAAGCTGGTCTCGGGGTCGTGGTCTGGATGCCCGCGGGCCCTGGGGCTGGTCGTCGTGCCTGGGGAGACCCGCACAGCCTGGGCCACCGGGTATCGAACATGCTCTCCCGTCCCACATGAGTGTCTGCTCTGGACACGCCCCGAAGGCTCTGTTAATCATTTCGACATTTCCTCCCCTTGCGGAAAATAGTTCTCTGTGACTCCTGCTGCCTTCCAGGTTCAGTCCAGACCCGCCCACTCACTCAGCCCCCTGGAGTCCTTGGTCCCACACCTGCTGCTGCTGCTGCTTGTGTCTCCTGGCCGGGCTGCTGCCCCCGCCTCCGCCCAGCATGCTCTTCCCGCCTCCCCCCTCGTCCTACTCAGCTGCCATTGTCCTTGGAGTGCCAGCTTGGAAGCCCTCATCTGGGACTTTCCCGCTGGCATTTACAAGCAGGAATTCATTCTCTTGTCCCTGCTGTCCCTGAGCTTGGTGATGATCCCGCTCACAGTGCTGTCTCGGTCATGCTTGTCTCTGGAGACCCCGGTGTGGCCCAGCCTGGGGTGCTGGTTAGGTGCAGGTGAATTGCATGCTGCGCCTCACGCTGCTCAGGGGTGCTGAGCAAGCCCACCGTGACCACGGAGCCCTGGGGGCACAAGGAGGGGGCCCTCAGGTGCCTCCGGGTAGGTTCGGAGTTCAGCCTCACCACTACCAGCTGTGTGACCTTGGGCCGGCGACGTGGCCCCTCTGAGCCTCGGCGTCCGCCGTTCCGCGGGGGCAGCTGGGAGGATGGACGCGGCCGTGCATGTCATCGCTTCGCTCGGTGCCTGGCAGATAGTCAGCGCTCCAGAAGTGCAGCTGTGGCGGTTCATGCTCTCATGGCTGGTGTGTGTCCCTGGTGCTCACTGGGTCTTTCACTGTCACAGAAGAAGGGCGTGAAGCGGAAAGCAGACACGACCACGCCCACGACGTCTGCCATCACCGCCAGCCGCAGCGAGTCACCCCCGCCACTGTCGGACCCCAAGCAGGCCAAGGTGGTGGCGCGGCGGGAGAGCGGGGGCCGCCCCATCAAGCCGCCCAAGAAGGACCTGGAGGACGGCGAGGTGCCCCAGCACGCGGGCAAGAAGGGCAAGCTGTCAGAGCACCTGCGACACTGCGACAGCATTCTCAAGGAGATGCTGTCCAAGAAGCACGCGGCCTACGCCTGGCCCTTCTACAAGCCGGTGGACGCGGAGGCCCTGGAGCTGCACGACTACCATGACATCATCAAGCACCCAATGGACCTCAGCACCGTCAAGGTACCTCGTGGCGGGCGGGCTCCAGGCAGGGGGCGGCAGGCGGCTGGGACCCTCTTTCCCTGTCTGGGCAGCCCCTGGCGCCTGGCCAACTGCCTGCTGTGTCGAGGTCCCCATGTCTTGGGCCGTCTCAGAGGGGGCCCCAGTGCTGGGGCCTGGCCCAGCTCTGTTGGTCTGCCCACTGGTGGCCGACATGCGCCCGACAGTGTGGTCTGGCAGGCTCGGGGAGGAAGGCGTGTTGTCTGTTAGTCACTGAATTTGCAGGTTCTTGTCATCTCTTCTGCTTGAACTCAGTTTCATTGTTTCACTTCTTTCCTTCCCGTCTCCCACCCCAGTCCGCCTGCAGGCTTCTGTCACGTCAGGCAAGGAGGCCCTTTCAGGTGACCCACCCCTCACCGGACAGAAGTGGGTCCTGGAGGGGTGGGTGGCAGAGCTGAGACCAGGAGCCCAGCCTCCCAGTTCGCATGCCAGGGTTTCCCTCACCAGGGGCCTCCCTGGGCTTTTGTGGGTTTTCCTCCAGGTCAGGCCAGTTGAGTACAAGCAGAGAGCAGCCTTGTGCTGGGTCACGATGGAGAAAGTGCCCAGGCGACAGCAGTGGCCCAAGGGCAGCAGGCCTCGGCCTGGGGTAACTCCCGTGGGGTCTTCTCTGAGTGCACGCAGGAGGGGTCCTGAGCCCCGCACACCTACCCTCCCTTGGAGAGCTCACAGCCAGCCTGGCGTTGGTCCCTGATGTCCTGAGCAGCGCCCCGGCAGTTGGGCACGTGTAGCCCACCTGCTCCGTGAGCCTCCCTCGTGGCCCTGGAACAGTGCCCCCCACCGTGGAGCGGTTATTTCCTCTATCAACGGGGCCTGGGCCTTGAACGGCTGGTGTCAGATGTTCTGCCTCATTTCCCAGTAACGCCAGCCTGGGGCAGAGTCTCCTTGGTGAGGCCTTCCCCCGGCGAGCATGGATTCCAGGGGTGGGACAGAGCAGGCTGTCCAGGTGGCGGTGCTCGGTGACCCGGCTCAAGTCACGCTGGCCCGGCTGGGTGACCGAGCAGCTTCCTCACCCTCTCTGAGCCTCTTCCTGATGTGCAGGGCAGGCACCTGCTTCCTCAGACATGTTCCTGCTGCAGTGGTCCTGCCCCTACTGGAAGCCCAGTAGCATCTGCGTTTCTTTGGGCAATTTTTTCCCCTGTGAGTAGGATACGGAGAGAGTCCTTGTAAAAATTCAGGCAAACTAGAGGCGGGTGGAGAGTGGGCCTCCTCCCTTCTGCCGTTGCCCCTCATTCCAGCGAATATTCCCGGTAATGGTTCGGTTCCATTTTCTGGATCAGCTCCTGGCTCAGGCTGGTGCTCTCGTGGCAGGCTTGACGGTGAGGCAGCAGGGAGACGCTCCCCAATGTGCCATCTCTGAGCCGAGCGCCCATGTCTCGAAGGCTCTTTCTCCCTGTTTCGGTGTGCGGAGTCCCGGCTCTAGGCTGCCGGCTGTCGGCTGGCCCCCCTCAGCCCTGGTGAGGGCTGTGCTCCGTCTGGTTGTGCCCACACTGCGGCTGTGCCCATCTTGGGACCTGGGGAGCCGGGGGTGCAGGCGCTGGGCCTTCAGGATGGAGAGGGCCCTCCGGGGGCTGCTTGCACCTTGCTGTTTACAGCTGGGAACCTGCGGCTGGAGAGGGAGTGGCCCCGCCCAGAGACAGTCCTGGGGTCCAGGCCTTTGACTCTTTTAAGCTGAGCTGGGCTGGCAGAGCTCCTGTTGTCCCGAGAGAGGGGCGTTGCTGGCTGTAGTGATGCTCGTCCATCCTTCCTAACCCCACAGAACTCTCAGGAGAGTTGTGTCCCTGCCCCGTATACAGTGGAGGAAAATGAGGCTTGAGGAGGAAGCGGCTTGCCCAAGGCCATATGGCCAGTGGGAGGCAGGGCCGGAAGTGTGCCTGCCTGGCCCAGGGGTGCTGGGGCTCCCCCAGGCGCTTCTCTCTGATGCCTGCGGTGGCCCTGGGGACACTGAGGGGGGCGTGTCGCGCTGGCGCCATGGCAGTCCACCCCAGTGTTGGGGACCCAGAAGGGACGTTGCGTGCACGTGACCTGCTTGCTCGGTGCTCCATTTCAGAAACATCCCCTCATCCAGGAAACGGCAAGGAGCGACACACAGAGCTGTGACTGTCCTTGGTCACCCTGTGTACACTTGCCTTTGGTTTGTTTGTTCCCAAGCCCCAGGACAGTGGCCAGTGGTCAAATTAAGACTGGAGCCTGAAGATCTCTCAGAAATTGAAAGGGTCTCAGCTGCCCATTTGTCCTCTCTGGCTGGGCCACCCTGGAGTGGGGAGGCTGTGCTGAGGACCGGAGCCCTGCAGCTCCGGAGCTGCCGGAAGCTCTCCAGGGGACAGGGAAAGAGGGGTGTGCCTAAGGCTGGAGAGGCTGCAGGTCCTGGAATCTGACCGCAGTCAACCTCTTCAGGGTCTAGAATTTTGTCATATACAAATTATATATATATAATTTTTAGGTGCAAATGGGACAGGTGGTCGGACTGTAACCCTCGGTGGCCTGCTGTAGCAGAGCATGGGCCCCAGGAAACCCAACAAGAGGTCCCTGACTAATGACCTCTACTTGAACCCATCCAGGCATGGGGAGCTCGTTCCTCACCAAGCGGTCGCCCCTCCATCTGCTCCGACTGTCAGCTCATTCTTAGCTGCCGCCTTGTGGGGTCCCTCACTGCTCACACTTCTGTCCTCCACATGCAGTGTGCCTGTTGTCTTGCCCCCACCAACCCATCCTGTCCCACTGGGGCGGCCTGGATGACCGGTGCTTCTGTGAGGGGCGGGCTGCTAACAGCGCCTGGATTCTCACGGAGAAAAAACTCCGAGTCTCACTCCGTGAGTGAGCAAAACCCCAGAGCTGCAGAGAGCAGCTTTGGACTGAAGTTCCTCGGTACCCCCCGAGCTCCTATCGTCATGACGTCAGTGTGTGAAAAATTACCCAGTGTGTAGAGTGGGAGACGGGCGAGGAAGGATGAGTGGGGGCTGCAGGAGCTGGGAGGTCTCGCTGAGCACCTTTTCCCTGCAGCCAGGGCGTCTGCCTCTCGGCGGCCTCCCAGACCCTCCCTCCAAGCCCTCAAGCCCCACTTCCACCCTCTCTCTGGGCTCCCACGTACGAGGTCCTGGGGTTTGTCCGTGGACGTGCAGAGGGTCTGGTGTCCGTTTGGCTGAGGTCTGGAATGCCAGACCTCACGCCCTGTCCCCCGTGTGTTACAGAAGAAGATGGACAGTCGCGAGTACCCAGACGCACAGGGTTTTGCAGCTGACATCCGGTTAATGTTCTCCAACTGTTACAAATACAACCCCCCAGACCACGAGGTGGTGGCCATGGCCAGGAAGCTCCAGGTAACCTGAGGCGCTCTCGGGGGCGGGCCTTCTGGGCGCAGGTGGGATCAGAGCTCAGGGTGGGCCCCCAGGGAAGATGCAGGCGTCCCAGAGAGCATCCAGTTGGGGAAGGGGACTCCGCTTCCAGGGAAGTGAACAGGCCGGCCTCTGCCTTTCGGGAGCCGCGCACTCAGGCTGCGGCAGGGAGCCCTCCGGGGGCCGGCGCGCATTCTAGCTGGGACAGGGAAAGAAGCAGCGTCTGTGCTCTGCAGCTGCACTGGCTGACGGCTCCAGCACGAGCCCGTCGGCGAGGCCTGTGGATGCCATGTCAGATGACAGTTGTTTGTGCAACCTTATGCTTTCCTGACAATAGAACAGACGGCATGCTGGGGAGAATGTGGGGCCAGAGGGAAGCCCGGGCTGGCCTCCAGTGCAGGCACCCGCACACATGCACACGTTTCTCATACAGAGATGCGCACGCACTCATGCGATGTCCTGCCCCAGTCTGGGTGCTGCCCGGGTGTTCCTGCATGGTCAGTACTCAGAATCCATTCTTACTCCTCCTTATGATCACCTGGGTGGGCTGTCGCTTTTATAAATAACAGCTCCAAGATTATGGATGTAATGTAACCAGAAGATTTTCTTTTTGGAAAAAAGAGCAAAAATTGAGGAGCTATATCCTCTTCTAGTAGTTTTTCTTTTTGCTGGACCCAGCATGTTTGTTCTGTAAGGCATTCCTAGTCCCCTGCTCAGAATCCCTTTGAAGACCCTGGGAAGTAGCTTGTGGTGTCGTCCTTGATGATGCAGGACCCAGACGAGGAATGAGGGGGACGCCTTTTTCCATGCTGCTGGGTCCTGCTGACATTCCTACCGTCCTCCTGCCTGCGGGTCCCCCCGAAGGCCTGTCCCAGGCTCTGGCTGCTGCACGCGGCCCTCTGTGTTCCCCGGGGGAACATGGCAGAGTGGTCCTAGTGGTCCCAGTACGCCCAGAGGAAGCCACCAAGGCCTGTGGTTTTGTACTGAGACCATGAGACCGTACCCACTGTGTCTTGAAGCCAAAAGACTTCTTGTGAAAGGCCACGCTGCCTTTGCTCCATGACGGTCCTGAGCCTGGTAACTTCCTTACTGGGCGGGCCGGGCAGCGCTGGCAGCAGACCGGGCGAGCGAGCAGAGCCAAGGCCCAGCGGCCCTGACTGTTCCTGCAAAAAGTGGTTCTGAGCAGTCTGGCCACAGAGGCTGAGAATCTTGGTCACCAATGGCTGTTTAGTACTGCACTGTTCTTGTGTATAAATGGAGCTCTGGGTTGGAGCCCAACACTGAAGCAGCCTGAAGTAAGTGCCCCTCGAGGCTGTTTACTGAGAGCAGGCCAATCGGTGGCTCTGTGTGTGAGCATCCCTCTGAGGGTGTCTTCACCCCAGGAGGAGAGTCTGGGGGACTAGAACCCAGAAGGGGTGCTTCCAGGAGCTGGACCCCTGATCAGTGGGGTCGCACCTTATATGTGTGAGCCGCTGTGGATTCCGGTGTGTGAGCTTGGCAAAGAGAAGTCTGCCCTTCTGGCCTCATGGCCACTCATCCCCGTCTGAAATGAACCTGGATCCCAGGGGGAGGGGACGTTTGTTGAGAGTGCTCCTGAGGGCTTAGGTCCTGCTGGGAGCAGCTGGCAAGGGTGTTCCAAAGCCACTTTTGACGGGACAAGACTTCTGGCTTTTGAGTCAACTTTGGGACCTAACTCGGACTGAGAGGTGAAGCTACAGTAAAGTCACAGAGGGGAGACGGGAGACTGAACCGGCTCCCAACCCGGTGTCTGGGGGCCCCTGTGAGGGGTCAGAGCTCAAAGGAAGATGCTCCAGCTGTTTCACAGTAGGTGGCAGCCTCGCAGAGCCTCAGACCCGGAGGCTGAGAGGACAACAGATTTGTGGCAGGATGCTTGCGTGTTTAATAAAGGGAACTTGCATGCCAGTTCCGAGGAGGCTGCATCTGTGGCTGTTGGTCCCATGTCCCCTGCCCCACACTCAATGCCTGGAGCAGGAGAGACTGAGAGCAGGCTGGGGGGCGACCCAGGCCCCTGAGGAGACTGGCCGCAGTCTCCTTGCAGGGCCTGACCTTCCGAGCCGCCGGGCATCCCAGGGATGCTGGGACCACTCCAAGGGGACTGCCCCATGGGCGTCAGGACCTCAGGCGCCCCTCCCCTCCCGCAGGACGTGTTTGAGATGCGGTTTGCCAAGATGCCGGATGAGCCCGTGGAGGCGCCCGCGCTGCCCGCCCCCGCGGCCCCCGTGGTGAGCAAGGGCACCGAGAGCAGCCGCAGCAGCGAGGAGAGCTCCTCGGACTCGGGCAGCTCGGACTCGGAGGAGGAGCGGGCCACCAGGCTGGCGGAGCTGCAGGAGCAGGTGAGCGGCCAGGGTCGGGCCCGCGGACTACAGGGGCTGACGGGGGGCTGAGGCAGGACCACGGCCCAGCTCTGGCCTGGTGCTAGGCCCGCCCTGTTGACCCAAGGTCTGCCCTGTTCCTTCCTCTCCACGAGCTGCAGTGACCCTGACTGCAGTGTCGCTGGGTGGAGACCCAGGGAAGGCGTCAGCTCCAAGCCCCCCTTGGTGGTGCTGCAGGCCTGGGGTCACGATAGCCTGCCTTGTGTCTGGATGTTCCTGGAGCCCTGATGGGCCCTGAGGGCCTCACCTTCTCTAGAAAAGTCAGGGAGGCTCGTGCAGTCTGTTGCAGTGGGGCGGGCGCAGGCTCCACGGTTCCCACCTCAGCCTCTGACCACCTGTAAGCCTGCTGGGCCCGGCTTCTCTACTTCTCTCTCTTCTCTACTTCTCTCTCTTCGTTTGCAAAATGGGACTAATGCTCCCTCCACTTAGAGTTGTTTTACGATGAATTAAGAAAAACATCAATTGTTTTCCCTAGTGTCTGGCAGCCAGCAGGTACCCATTTCTGGGGCCTCCGAGCAGGGAGAACAAGCAGAGCAGACTGGCCCCGCAGGCCCCAAAGTGGGGCTGGGTGTTTGACCCTGAGCTGAGCCTCGCTATAGGGGGCGCTGCAGGGTGGATGCTTTTGAGAAGCGGCCGCCAGGCTCTGAGCGCAGTGCTCGCTCAACTCCTCTGCCTACTGGAGGCTGGAGACGCGATTCCTCACCGGACGGTGTGCTCATGGTGGCCCCTGCGCCTGGGGTTGGCGGGGGGGTGGGTTGCAGAAACGAGCGGTGTGTGAGCACTCACCACGCCACCAGGTGCGTTTTGGATAAACTCAATAAACCGTAGTTGCTGGCACTGGATCCTTTTGATCCTGTGGGCCTGCCGCGTCTGATCCACACGGCTTCCCCAGAGCAGCTGTTGCCAGTTTGCTTCGTGCAGGCGCTTAAACTTCCTCATCTAGAGAGTCTTTCTCGTCTGAAAAGTAAAAACTAATCAGGAGAGCAGTAGCTCCCGTTTACCGAGTCCTTACCGTGCCCTGCCCGTGCCGCGCATCTCCCCAGGCCCATCTCGTCGTCTCCGCCACCTGTGAGCTGCGCACCTTCCACTCCCTCTGCCCAAGGAAACCGAGGCCCAGCAGACCCAGCAACCTCCCTGCGGCACAGGGGTGGGGAGGGGCGGGGCCCAGGGGCCCCAGGCGCACCTCCCGCCCAGTCGAGGCAGCGCCAAGGGCGCCCCGTGCCCATCCCCACCGTTTCCCCCTTGGGCCAGCCCCGGGCAGGCCACTCATGTCTGCTCTTTTCCAGCTGAAGGCCGTGCACGAGCAGCTGGCCGCCCTGTCTCAGGCCCCGGTGAACAAACCAAAGAGGAAGAAGGAGAAGAAGGAGAAGGAGAAGAAGAGGAAGGACAAGGACAAGGACAAGGACAAGGACAGGCACAAGGCCAAGTCCGAGGACGAGAAGAAGGCCAAGGCGGCCCCGCCCAGCAAGCAGGCCCAGCAGAAGAAGGCTCCCGCCAAGAAGGCCAACAGCACGACCACAGCCAGCAGGTGGGCTCCGGCGCCGGCCTGGCCCTCCACGAGCCCAGTGCTGCTCGCCGTGGGTGCTCGTGTGGCCGAAGGGGTGCTGCGTGTGGGACTCTGCGCTGGGGCTGCGAGTCCTGGTGGCTCAGAGACGGCTTTCACGTGGAAAACAGGGTGGGGGTGGTGGTCCTTGTCTCATCCGCCTCATGGGGCGACCGCGGGGACCAGACGAGATCTCTGCCGGGAAGATATGGGCTCCAGAGGGTGCTGCTCAGCTGTCCGTGGGGCTGGCCCTGTATCACAGCCATTGGAGTGGTCACACTGCCTGGCAGAGACCTCTGCTTCTCGAAGCTTTGGGGACATTTTCCAGATCTGGGCCCAGGAGTTTTATTTTGGGGGCATTGGGCCTTGGTGGCGTGGGCTCCTGGCACCCCATTCCTGGCTCGCCTGGTAGGCAGAGGGTTGCTGGTGGACTCGTGTCTTGGCACAGATCCAGCGCCCTGGTCCATCCACCTTCTGACTTAGCTCCTGCCGTGGCCGGCACTGCCCTCAGGAATGCCTGCCGTAGACAAGCAGGGACCATGGGAAGATGAGGACGGTGGGGAGGGCGTTTAGGGCCAGGGTGCCTCTCCCGGCAAGGTAGGGGGAAGGCTTCCCAGGAGCAAGCTGGAGAGCAGAGGGTGGGGACAGGTTCCAGGAATCAGGCACAGCAGGTACAAAGCCATGGAGGCCAGTGGACACGTTCCTTGTGGGGATTAGGACAAGACTAGCACCCCTGAAGAGCAGAGATGGGGTTGGGAGGAGCGGGGGTGGGTTGAGGCTGCTAAGGTTGGCTGGCTTTGTGGGGGTGTTTCGGTTTTATTCTCCGAGCAAATGGAGGGGAGTCAGGAAGTATTTAAATGTGGAGAGTGGGGGCTGGCCCAGTGGCGTAGTGGTGAAGTGCACACTTTCCGCTTCTCGGTGGCCCGGGGTTCGCCAGTTTGGATCCTGGGTGCGGACATGGCATGGTTTGGCAAGCCATGCTGTGGTAGGCATCCCACATATAAAGTAGAGGAAGATGGGCACGGATGTTAGCTCAGGACCAGTCTTCCTCAGCAAAAAGAGGAGGATTGGCAGATGTTAGCTCAGGGCTAATCTTCTTCCGGGCGGGGGGGGGGGGGGCGAAATGTGGAGAGTGGATTAGCGGGAGGCAGGAATGGGAGAAAGGAGGCCCCTTTGGAGGCGGTTGGGGTTATGCAGGCAGAAGAGGTCGGCAAGGCGTGGAGGTGGCAGTGGGTGGCTGTGAGAGCCGTTTGGGAGGCAGAAGGGACCAGTCTGTGCCTGGAAGGAGGAGGAGGGAGGGGCACGCGGAGCCAGGGGCTCTGGCTTTGGCAGCTGGGCAGACAGTGGTGCCATCAACATAGGGCAGTGGGCATGGACAGGGGTGCCCGTCCCCCCTTTCTTCCTGCTTTTGGAGGAGGAGGCAGAAGTCAGTTTTTCTTGTACTGTCTCTGTCTGGTTTGGGTATCAGTATAATGCTGGCCTCAAAAATGAGTTGGGAGGGGCTGGCCCAGTGGCACAAGGGTTAAGTTGGCGTGCTCCAGCTTTGGTGGCCTGGGGTTCACTGGTTTGGATCCCAGGCGTAGACCTATGCACTGCTTGGCAAGCCATGCTGTGTGGTAGGTGTCCCACATGTAAAATAGAGGAAGATGGGCACGGCTGTTAGCTCAGGGCCAGTTTTCCTGAGCAAAAAGAGGAGGATTGGTGGCAGATGTTAGCTCTGGGCTGATCTTCCTCAAAGAAAAAAGAAAAAAAATGAGTTGGGAAGTGTTTCCTCCTCTTCTGTTTTCTGGGGTAGATTTATAGAATTTATATTAATTCTTAAATGTTTGATAGAATTCACCAGTGATACCATCTGGGTGTGGAGTTTTCATTGTTGGGAAGCTTTTAACCATGAATTCAGTTCTTTTGATACACGTGGGACTAATCAGGTTGTCAGTTGAGTTTTGGTGGTTTGTGCCTTTCAAGACGTTGCTGCATTTCATCTAAATCATGGTGGGCACGAGTTGTTGGTGGTTTTCCCTTCTCCTTTGATGTCTGTAGGGCCTGTAGTGATGTGTCCTTTCTTTCCTTCCTGATTTTGGTAATTTGTGTCTTTTTCTTGGTGAATCTGGAGAGAGACTGATCAGCATTCAACGAACCAGCATTTGATTTCACTGCTTTTCCTCTGTTTTCACTTTCTTTCATTTCTGATCTTATTTTTACTGTTTCCTTTTGCCTACTTTGGACTTAATTTGCTGTCCTTTTTCTAGCTTCCTGAAGTAGAAGTTCAGATTATTGATTTGAGACCTTCTTTTCTAATCTAAGCTTTCTGCTTTAGCTGCACCCTACTAATCTGATATGTGGTGATTTCATTGAGTTCAAAATCTTTTCTAATTCCCCTTCAGACTTATTCTCTGACCATGGGTTATTTAGAAGTATGTTGTTTAATTTCTAAATATTTGGAGATTTTTTTCAGATATTTTTCAGTTATTGATTTCTAGTTTAATCCCAGTAGGGTCAGAGAACGTACTTTATATGATTTCAGTACTTTTAAATTTGTTAACATTTATTTTATGACCCAGAATATGGTCTATGTTGATGAGTGTTCCATGTGTGCTTGAAAAGAATGTGTGTTCTCCTGTGGTTGAGGGGAGTGTTGTGTATGTCGGTTGGGGAAAAAATCTTAAAAGCAGACAAAAAACATGTAATTTGGGTTAATTTGGTTGATGGTGTTGTTGGGGTCTTTTCTTTGCTTGCCAGTTTGTTTTGTTAATTACTGAGAGAGAATCACTGAATTCTCAAACTTTGTGGGTTTTTCTGTTTCCCTTTGTTCTATCAGATTTCGCTTCGTATCTTTTAGAGCTTGGTTTTTAGATGCGCACACATTTAGGGTTGTGATGTTTTCTTGGTCAGTTGACCCTTTTATCATTTGCAGCAGCCCTCCTTTTCCTGATAATAGTCCTTTTGCTGGAGTCTACTTTGTCTGAAATTAGTGTAGCTACTGCCATTTTCTTTGATTGGTGTTTGCATGGTGTGTTTCCCCCATCTTTTAACCTACCTCTGTCATTATATTTAAAGTAGAGTTCGTGTAGGCAACATGTAAGTTGGGTCTTGTTTCTTACCCAACTTGACCATCTCTTTCTTTTACCTGGTGTGTTTAAACTGTTTCTATTCAATGTAATTCTGCTACAGTTAGATTTCGGTCTCTCATCTTCTTGTTTTCTGTCTGTTTTTTCTTCCTCTGTCCCCTTTCCTGCCTTCTTTTGGATTATTTGAATGGGGAGATCAGTTTTTGACCGGTTGAGTTTGAGATGCCTCTAGGGCGTTGAGGGGAGCTGACCCTGAAGGTTGTTTCCTGGCCGAGGCCTGGAAACCTGCTGGTGGGAGCAGCCTCTGCTCTGACCTCTGGAGCAGGGTCTTCCCTGTCTCTGGAGACACATGTGCCGTCCTCAGGCAGTTGACCTGGCTTCTTTACATGAGACATCACTTTGGGCCTGCCTGTAAGAGAGCCTGGTGGTCCTGGAGAGGAAGGGGGCCAGACAGAACAAGGGGTCAAGGGGTGGGGGCTCCATGGCGTGGGGACCGGCCCTCCACAGGAGGCAGGAGCTCAAGCTCAGCGGGTGTGGCGTAGGGGCTCCACAGGAGTGGGGGCAGGGCTCCATGCCACGATGCTCTTTGCCTTCTGCCTCAGACAGCCGAAGAAGGGTGGCAAGCAGGCCTCGGCCTCCTACGACTCGGAGGAGGAGGAGGAGGGCCTGCCCATGAGCTACGATGAGAAGCGCCAGCTCAGCCTGGACATCAACCGGCTGCCCGGGGAGAAGCTGGGCCGGGTGGTACACATCATCCAGTCCCGGGAGCCCTCGCTCAGGGACTCCAACCCCGACGAGATAGAGATTGACTTTGAGACTCTGAAACCCACCACTTTGCGGGAACTAGAGAGATACGTCAAGTCTTGTTTACAGAAAAAGCAGAGGAAGCCGTTCTGTAAGTTGTCGGGGCCCCGCCCACCCTGTCCTCTTCGCTCCTTCAGTAACAGGTGGAAAGCCGGGCAGCCCCCAGGGGTGGGAGTGGGTCGCTGCCTGCTGCCTTGCTCCCCGCCCATCCTCCCGCCTTGAGCTCTGAGGATACCTGTCTGCTCAGCGGGCGCAGCCCCCCTCCAGCCGGAGTGCTCCTTCCCCCTCTCTCGGGCAGGGGGTAGTGCTGTGCACCTTGGCCTCTGCTGGGCCAGGCAGGCACCCTGGGTTGGCCTGAGCCTCATTCATTCAGGTGCTAATTAAGGCCCTCGCCACTCGCCTTGCTGAGGCTGCAGGAGGGCCTGGGCCACAGGTGACCTCTGGTGGTCCCCTGCCAGCTGTTTTTTCCTGGGGAAGAGGGTCGAGAGTCCTCCTAGGACAGACCCCGGCACTGGGCCAGGCCCTCCCTGGAAGTCAGTGACTTCTCCAGATGGGAACAAGGCACTGCCTGGTCAGCAGGTCCTGGGGAGTGAGAGCAAGGGCAGGCCCGAGGTGGCCCTGTGGTGGCAGGAGAGCAGGGCCGCAGCCCCGGCCCTGAGGACTATGAGGCATGCCTGTGCCTGTGTGTGGCCTCTCGGGTGCTTGGTCCTCACTCACTCTGTGGGGCAGCGCCTTCTCCTGGATGGAGTGCTGCACGACCCCCTGCAGTCGCATCACGTTTGACCCTTGGTAAGTTGCCCGTGGACTCAGAGGTGGCAGCACAGATGTGCCAGGCAGCGGAGGCCGTGTGCGGGGCCGGCTCTGGGCTCACTGCTGAGGCCAAGAGTGAGGCTCAGCTCTGGTGAAGCAGGACCGGGAGTCAGAGGGTCAGGGTTCAGTCACGGCTCTGCCCTTCACCAGGGAGTGCTGGGGTCCCCAAGCCACACATGTCCCGTCCGTGCACCCGTCTGCTAGGGAGAAGGGTGTGTGTCACCTCAGGTTAGAGAAGGCTTTGCGTCTAGTGAGGGCTCAGCACGTGCCGGTGGGGCCTCCGTGTCATCCTGCTCGCTTTACCCCTCGGGGAGCTCGGTGTCCACCCTGCGGTCAGGGCCAGGGCCGGGCACGTCCAGGGGGCTGGGGCCGTGCTGCCCGGAGCTGCCCCTGTGTGGGCCGCCGGCTGAGCCCCGCCTTCCTCTGCAGCGACAGGCGGGAAGAAGCAGGCGGCCAAGTCGAAGGAGGAGCTAGCTCAGGAGAAGAAGAAGGAATTGGAGAAGCGGCTGCAGGACGTCAGCGGGCAGCTGAGCAACAACAAGAAGCCGGCCAAGAAAGGTATTTGCTCCAGGTCCACGATGGGCGGGCGGCAGGCCGGGCTCCCCACTCCCTGTGCACGGTTCCTTCCCTGAGGCTCTTCACCTCCTGAGACCCCGATTTCCTTCTGTACCTGTGAACGGGGCTGGAACCCTGGCCCTGAAGGGGCTGAGCAGACGGAAGGCGTGTGGGAGGGCACCCTCTGCCAGAAGCCCCTGGAGAGGCTCTTGGGAATGGCCCACCTGGAGTCCTGCCCCGCAGCCTCCGTGGGTCCTGGCCCCTGCAGCGAGCTTTCTGGCTGCCCCCGGGCGGTCACACGAGTTCCCAGCCTGTTACCGACACCACAGGAGGGAGGCTCTGACTCCCAGCCCCCAGGCCCCTTTGTGGAGTGCAGGGTCTTATTTTAGGTGACAGGTGGTTTGAGTCCTTGCCTCCTTTCTCTGGACCCTGTAAGAAAGGGCAAATACCTTTTTCCTGGCCCCAGGGATGGGGGACACAGGTGGTAGTCAGCATTGGGATCCCGTGTCAGTGATCACGTAGCGGCCGGGTGCCACAGCCTTGCCAGCTCCTGCTTGCCCAGTGCCGAAACGGGGCTTGTGACCCTGCCCACTCCCACCGAAGGCTCGGAGGGTCCCCTGACATCACCCCTGGGAGGGGCAGAGCAGGTGGCTCCATGGTCACTGCTCAGCACCACCTGAGTGCTGGATGTCTTTCTAAGTCAGCCCCCCCACGCACACAGCCCGTCAGCCCCTCTGAGTCAGCCCCTCTGAGTAGGGCACACTCGTGTCTTCCCGTCTCTGGGATACTCACCTAGTCTTGGTGATCTCTGAGCTTTTACTCACACTTGTGACACTGAGTGTCTGGGGTTTCTCACACCAGCTCTCCGATCTCTGATACCAGCTGGGTGTCCAACAATTCTGTTCAGTTCTGACACTCTCTCCTCAGAGTTAGCGCGGACCCTGCAGGTGAAGGGCCCAGCCCCACAAGACCACCCCGACCTGGGACGCCAGGTGCAAGTCCCGGCCGCCCGAACCTCTGACCCACGGGCTATAAGCCGGGGGTTCCCACGACCCCCTCCTCAGGTTCGATAGTTTCCTAGAACAGCTCACAGAACTCAGGAAAGCACTTTGCTTGCTATTATGGTTTATCGTAAAGGATAGAAATCAGGAACTGGGGCCGGCCCGGTGGCGCAGCAGTTAAGTGCGCACGTTCCGCTTCTTGGCGGCCTGGGGTTCGCCGGTTCGGATCCCGAGTGTAGACATGACACCGCTTGGCACGCCATGCTGTGGTAGGCATCCCACATATAAAGTAGAGGAAGATGGGCACAATGTTAGCTCAGGGCCAGGCTTCCTCAGCAAAAAGAGGAGGACTGGCAGTAGTTAGCTCAGAGCTAATCTTCCTCAAAAAACAAAAAAAAAAAGAAATCAGGAACTGCCGAATGGAAGAGACACATGGGGCCAGAGATGGGGGCGCAGAGCGTCGCGCTCCCAGCCCTGCACGTGCTCATCCGCCAGAAGCTCTCCAATCAGGTTATTAGAGTGCCCCATCTCCAGTACCCTCCCTTCCGCGGAGTTGGGAGTGGAGGGGCTGAAGTTCCCCCTCCAGTCACTCCGTCTTCCTGGGGGCTCTGGGGCCTCCACCCCGAGTCACTCATTTGCATAAACTCAGGTGTGATCCACAGGGGCTCCTTATAGATGACAGAAGACATCCTCATCACTCCGGGATTTAGGGGTTCTGTGCCAGGAACCGGGGCAAAGACCCAGTAGATTTCTTATAATGCCACAACCTCGTTAATGCAGTAATTCATTTCAACAAACATTTGTTAATATTTATTAAACAACGGAGCCAAGAAACGAGTGCGTTGTGGCCTGTGATGTGGTGGTGTGAAGCCAGTGGCTGTTCTGGAAAAGCCTGTGTTGATGCGGGCGTTGCCAGGCGAAGGGGGGCGAGTGGAGTGGGCGCTCACCTGCTGTGTCTCCCGCAGAGAGACCGGGCTCGGCGCCCGCGGGAGGGCCTGTGTTGATGCGGGCGTTGCCAGGCGAAGGGGGGCGAGTGGAGTGGGCGCTCACCTGCTGTGTCTCCCGCAGAGAGACCGGGCTCGGCGCCCGCGGGAGGGCCATCCCGGCTCAGCAGCAGTAGCTCCTCCGAGTCCGGGAGCAGCAGCTCCAGCGGGTCCAGCTCCGACAGCAGCGACTCGGAATGAACCCCGGCCTCACACAGGACAGAACAAAGCCAGTGGCTGTCGCACGCGGAGACTCTGCAGTGTTCCCTCGATGGTTAATATACTACTTTTGTCCCATGGTGTGCAGGTTTTCTTTTTAACTCAGTGTTACGGTATCTTCCAGTTTGTGCTTTCATAGGTCAAAGGTCTTTTCGTGTGTCCACTAGACTTTATGAGACGGGGGGGGATCTGCATAAAGTCTGCTCTTCGTAACTGAATCCAGTGTTGGGGGATGACAACTTCAAATGCTAATAACCTGATAACCATAGAAAAACACGTCAGACGTGATCGGAAGGCTCTTGCAGTCTCTCTTTTCTTACGCCCAGCCTGGTCTGTAGCTGCAGGGAGAATTTTCTCAAAGGGAGTTTCTCTGAAATGGTACTGCATCGGAGAGCTGCTGGCTCGGCAGACAGGTGTTGTCTTTGTCATTCGGGCCGAGCTCTGACTCTAGTGTCGAGGGGTCACCTCTTTCTGCGGGGGCTGAAGACATACGTGCCTGCTGTGGGGACCAGGGCTGGGCTAAGCGAGGGGTCCTCGTGGCCCCTGTGAGAGCTTGTGCGGGTGGGCGACAGGCGGGGGTGGAGTGCAGCGGGGTGCTGAGTTCCTCTGATGTGTGCGATGTCGGGAGCTCCTGGGAGGGAACACAGTGGCTGCGTGTGCAGCGCGCAGGTTTCCATACACTGAAACTTTTACCTCAACTTAAAAAAAAAAAGAAAAGATAAAAAAAAAAAGGAGACTTTTTTGTAAGGTTCAGCAATTTTCTACGAAAGTCCAGCCCAATGTGTGCCCCTAACTTGTTAGCGCTGCCGCTCACTCCGGAACCACTTCCCAGTTTCATGTATATATGAATACTTTATTTATTAACATCATTGGTCATTTTTTTAAAAAAAGAAAAGAAAAACAAAACTGCGAAAGAGATGCATTAACAAAACTAGCAGATGCAGGCCCCTGAGGCGGTTTGCAGGGAGCCCGCCCGCCGGCCCTGCCTCCAGGTGCTAGCCTCGCTCCTGCCGGTGCTCAGTCCTGTCCGCGTGCACTCGCCCTGCGCTGGGCTTCGTGCAGGTTTGCGTTTTTTGTTCTTGTGTGTGTATGAAATTTGGAGATTTACAGGTATAGACAACTTCCAGCTGCAGCACATTCTAATTTTTTTATTTTCTTGGTTTAATTCTTTTGTATTCACTTCTGGTCTCTTTAGGACTGTTTTAAAAGAAATCAATTTAGGGAACCCCGGTTATATAATATAAACTTTGTAATCTGAGAGAAAAGAATGTATAGTAAATCTAAGTCTTGATTTTTAACTTTCTATTGTAAAAAAATAATAATAATAATATACAGAGTTTAACAGAAGGGTATGTTCTGGGTCTGTTTCCTGAGGCCGCCCTCTGGCCTTTGGGCACAGGGCTGCCCCACGCTGCCTGCCTAAGCCCTGAGCACGGTGACTTCGGCCAAGAACGCAAGGGTCAGCCTTCCAGGCCCCCAGACGGGGCGCCCGTCCCCGCCCAGCCTCCAGGCGAGGGGCTGAAGCCCCCGTGGCCCGATATGGTCTTCCAGCCGGCTGGCAGTGGCCGGGCAGGGCTCTCCCTGGCCCATCTTTCTCCAGGGGTGGCAGGGCCTCTGGCCCCCGAGGGTTCCCTCTCTGAAGACTCCACGGGGCTCCCTGCTCGAGCATCTGCCAGTTAGCACAGAAATGGCTGAAGCGCAGGGACTTCTCCCAGACACCCCTGGGAGGACTTCATGGAGGTGGGGGCTGGAGGTGGAGCCAGGGGTGGCCTGGCCTTTTGTCTGGTGGTGAGTTCTTTCTGCCAGCACTTCTGGATGGAGAGATGGACTAGTCATCAGTATCCTGATAGGTGGCAGTTTTTAAAAGAGTCATAAAATCAATTCAGATTCCACCAACCCTATGGCTGTGGAGCCCCTTGATGGATATAGAACTCTGCTGAGGCAAAGGATGGTGGATTACCATTTCTCTTACTGCTGGTGATTCTGACACTTGGTGAGTTTTGAGCCAGTTTGTTAAATTTTTAATTAAGTTTTGTTTGTAATAAAAATATAAATGGATTTTAAACTTGCCATTTTTTAAAGTTACCCTTGTTTTTCAAAGGTGTTTTCTAAACAGATCTTTAATGGAGTATTTAAAGTACGACTTTAAGGAATTAATACACGACAAAATCGACAGGTCTTAAAGCAGGATCTCGTTGGCAGTACGGAGCAAGTGCACATCTGGGGCGTAAGCAGACCTCGAGCAGACGGTGCCTGGAGGCGGGGCTCCGGGGGGCTCCTCTCCAGCTGCAGAGAGTCAGGGGCACCTGTGTGAGCCGACAGGCGGGGTGACGTCTGGCCCTAGAGTTTAGCCCAGCGGGAGCTTTCCAGAGCATTCCATCACCCGCTGGTCCTGTGTGAGCTGTGGCTTCTTGAACCGCCTCTGCTCTGTTCATCTGGAGAGAACCCGCCGCTGCGAGGGCGCACGGAGGGCCTGAGTGCGTGCCGGCAGTCGGAGCCGTTGGTGCTGCAGTCTTTAAGGCTTTCTGTCCAGGCTTCGAAACCCATTTCAGAGTTCGGGGCCCCTCGGCCCCTCGCCGTCAGCCTGTGGGCGTTTGCATTTCCTTTTCTCCGCGTCGGGAAGACGAGCAGAGCTGTTCCAGGGCCGCGAACTGGAGGGCGGGCGGCTCTGTGTGCTTCTCGAGAGGGGAAGGGAACCGCGTGCGAAGCAGGTTGGCCTCGCGTACAAAGTGGCTTTGACGGACGACACTCTCCGTGACCCGAGGGGGCCGCGGCGGGTGTGGACTCAGTTCCAGAGACCCTTGCTCGCGCTGGGCAGCGTCATCTTGCTTCCAAACTGTAAGCTGTGTTTTCTTTCTGTTTGTTTGGGTTTGTTCTTTTGCAAGTCTCACCTTCTGCGGCCGCGTGGGAGCGAACACCGCCCGCGGTCGAGAACTTGTTGCGTCCCACGTAGCCTGTGCTTAATACTGGCCTGACGCGTCCGGGAAGGTTTTCTTTTTTATATTTAAAATGTTACTTTTCTGTATGATGTGCATGCAAGTTTACCGTAACTTTTCTTAAACTTTTTAGTGCCGTTTCTAGTATATTCCTGTAAATGTCAGTTACTGAAAATGAGTCCAATGTAAGTAGTTTTAGCTTGTTTATTGCAATGCTGGCCTCAACACAACAGAATAAAAATGGTAGAAAGTACTCTTCGATGTTTCTGGTAATCATGGACCCTTCTCCTGGGGCATTTGTTTTTGTTTTCATAATAAAAGCAAAAAAGAAAAACCAAAAGCGGTGCCTTTTCCCGTGCTTTCTGGGTGGCCCCGCCTCTGGCCTGCGCGTGGGGAGACGCTCTGGAAGCAGCCCGGCTGGAGGCCCTCCCTGCTTGTCCCCCGCCGCTGCCTAACGGGCTGAGCTCCTCGTTCTTCCCGTCCTCAGACTCTTGGCAGGAATATGCAAAGCATCCAGAAGAGGTTCTCAAAAGCTGTGTACGGAGCTGAGGGCCTCATCCTGGGCGGGGAGGGGGGCACCAGGATTTGGGGAGTATCGTTTTTTGCCCCCCTACGAAAGTTAAAATCCCCTTTCTTTTCATTCAGTCGGTTCTCGGGACCCAGCTGCCCTCTTCGTAGAAAGGCAGGTTCTGTCACCTTCTGGTCCCACCTGGTCGTTCCTCCTCTCTGGGCACATCCCTTCCCCCCGCCCCGTGCCTCAGTCTGCGTGGAGGTGGTTTCGAGACAAGAGGCATCACATTCTTGTCCAGCTGGCCCAGTGGTAATTTCTGCAAAGTCACGTCAAACTGGAGTTTACACTGCTAGGCTTTCCACCACTCGGTACCGGACCCGGCCCAGAGCAGAGGCATCAGTGAAGAACGAATGAGGTGTCAAGGCAAACGAGACTTCTGACACTGTTCTCAGAATAGTCACGGCGGCTCCAGCCAGGCCTCACAGAGACATCCTGGGAAAAGGCTCTCGTTGGCCCGAGTCCAGGCCTCATGCCATCCCACCCCCAGCCTGTCAGCGGGCCCCCTCCCCACATTCCCTCTGCACGTGCCACCCTCGTCCAGACTCTCCCCTCTCTCATCCAGACCCGCCTCCCCCAGGACATCCCTAGCCAGCCGCCCAGGCTCCCCTCGGGCAGATGGTGGCTTCCTTCACTCCAGGCAGCTTAGTGCCAGCTGTCCTGCAGGCAGGCGGCCCAGTGCAGACTCCGCCGTGGCCGGTGCTTGTCCTCACAGGTGCTGCCTCAGCCCTTGGGGCTGACCCAACCACAGCGTGTTCTCAGGTTGGTTGAGGTATGGTGAGCGGCAGAGAGACGTTCCAGACAAGTCTCTTAAGTTTGCTTTCTCCCAAGCAGGACTTCCACTGAAGAGCTGCAAGGATGCTAACCAAACCTCTCTACCGGGCAATGCAGGTGTGGGGGCTCCTGGCACAGGCGAGCCCTTACTGCAGACTGTAGTGCTCTGTAGATGGGCTGGCTCCCCGCCAGCGCCGGGAGGCGATTCAGGAACTCTGACTTCAAGCCCCCCGACCTGAGGCAGCAGGCAAGCCGAGGATCCACGGCAAGGACCAGGCCTCTGGCTGGACATCTGGGGAACGCCGTCTGACCCAGCAGTTCCACTTCTAGGATGTCGTTTGCTAATGAACTTGCACAGCTGCAACCAGAACCATGCAGAGGGAAGCCGAGGACATGCCGTGTGTGTGGCAACAGTAGGAAGCATCTCTGCCCGCTGCGGGCTCCTGGGAGCGCCGCTAGTCAGGCGCCCAAGCCTGATGGAGACGCCGCTCTGTGCAGCTGAGCAAGAAAACCGCAGAGCCAGGTGCACGGTGCCAGGCACCTTGAGAATTACGCGGGATTGCATGCGCATGTGCGCGCAGCCCCAAGCGGGGGTCCCGGGGTGGCAGGGACTTCTGCTTTGCTTTATGCATTTCTGTATTGGGATTTTTAGCAGTCGTTAGATATTACTGTTATAAAAAGAACTGCAAGCCCAATTAAGATATTATGAACAAACATGAAAATAAGAGGAAGGAAGGAGGGAGAGTCCTAAAGGATGTTTATTTAGAAAAGAAAAATCAGCTTGACAAAAGATACTTCCACATTTGCATAGCCACGCAGACTTTAATGACAGCAGACGGCAGAGCTTTTTAAAATGACTCATAGATGCTGCGTACACAGGTGGCCAAGGCTGCCTGTGCCCAGTAATGACCAACACACATAAAAGCCTGCAGACGGCGGGGTGGGCCGGTCGTGGAGCCCAGAGGCTGCAGGACTCCAATGTCAGTTGAGAACCTGCCATCTTCAGCCACCTGGTAAATCTGAAATTGCTGTAAGCAACTGATGTGGGACTTAAAAGTAATTTTTGGTTCCCTGAATGTTTCTTGGATGCACTTGCCCGCAAGCCTCAAGTACCTGGAAGCTAGCATATAAGCTACCACAGTGCGCTCATTCCACACGATGGTGGCTTTGGGAACTAGACTCAAAATACAAGTGCAGCAAAGTTCCCGTGGAAATGCTGCTGCCTCTGCCGCCGCCCGTTTCAGTTGCATCCACCCCCCCCCCCCCCCCCCCCGCCTGCAGTGAACTTCCGACCACACACGATGCCGATTCCTCACTTTTTTCTAGATCTGACCCATTCCTTACCAGGCAGGAGTGGATGCCAAAAACAACCTAGAGAAATATGAAAAGGTTGTTTGTAACCAGGGTGTCCCTCTCGCTTGATTTATTTGGAAGCTTGACAGATAAGCAGCATCCAGCAGTGCCCCGGGCCGGGCCGGGCCTGCTATGCTCAGAAGCTGAGGCGGGACCCTCACACGGATGCTGCGAGGCAGGACGCGGGGGGCCCTTTCTGGGATCTCGGGTTCTTAGGCCACAGCTTGGTCTTCACGGTCACTATTCAGACTATCCCACTGAGGCCCAGATAGCAACAAAACAGCGGAATGAGACACAGGCCTGTTTTCCTCAGAGCCCTGGTTTTCATCTTGGAATTACATAATTGTGCAAAACTTGGACTGGCCCGTGTCCCGGGAGACCTCAAGCTTGTTTCTGTCCCGGACTAAGATGGCCTCGTTTCCATACTGTGAGTACCACATGCTTCGGCTCCTGCTCAGATATGTCCCGGGTGGCACGGATTCCAGCTTCTGCTGCTGCTGCTGCCAGATGAGCAGGGAGGTGTCCCTGTACCGGAGCCGGGCATGGCCTTCAGACAGGGCTTTCTCTGCCAGCGGGACGCGGCCACTCATCCCTGGCCGCAACCTGCGCTCTTCTGGGCTCCTGCCCTCGCAGCCTCTCTGAGCCGGTCCTGCCGTGTGGACTGCTGCCCACTGCTTTGCACTAAATTCACTGCTGGACAAGTTTCTCCACCGCTGGGTGTGAGGAGTCCCTGTGTAACTTGAAGGCAGAAATGAGGAATTCAGGCCATTTGCAGGCAACAGCCTTAGGAGAGTTGTATTGCAAGGAGACTTGAGAGGAGTATCCTGAAAAGACACCTAAGAACCACATGGAGACAGCAGGTCAGAGTGGCGCCCTGGCTGCAGTGTTCCCAGGTAACAGCTGTGTGCACTTTACTAGGTGTGGAGTTTGCAGAGATGGGGCGCCCACCTCGGCGGGCCCTTGTCAGGTGTCTGCCTCGATGCTGACACCACAGCTTGGACTGCTTAGCTTCAAAAGATGTGTCCAGTGTCCTGAGTGAAAGGACATTGTACAAGGAGACAGCAGCTCCTAGCTGCCCCAAGCTGTGTGCGTGGGTCAGCTTTCAGCACAGCATGGGGGCTCTTCTGACACACGTCGGGTTTGGAACCAGCACTGTTCAGTTCTCTTTTTGTGGCTTGTCTTCAACTCTTCCCCAAGCTGGTGCTACAAAGAAATGAACGTGCTGTCAGGTGTTGGGGAGAAAAAGGCCGCAGTGGCAAAGGCGGGTTTAGGGCACAGAATCTTAACTCTGGGTCAGAGAGTGAAACCAAGCTACCTGTACGTTTCACTGTTCCAGTCTCTCTCAGTGATCCAGATGGTGAGCCTAATCCTGCTTCTTCTGTTAGCTAAGGGGCTGATCCTGGGGAACCACCTGTTGGAGCGTTAGTGTCTGTATCAGTGAAATAAATCCTAAGAACCCAAAGAGGCACAGGTTGCAGAGGAATGCTCCCAGACAAGCCCCTGCCCTGGGAGGGTGGCTGCCCATGCCGGCGATGGCCTGGTACTCACCCAACTACCAGTGCCTTCTTTCTGCTCCAAGCATCCAGGAGGCCCCTGGACCAGGAAGAAAAATGACGTCAGATGAAAAACGGAACAGGGAACCATCCACACCCCCCAAATGCTTTCCTGGCCATGCAAATTCATTTTTCCTTCTGTATGGCCGGCTGCCACTGAGTCCCTCACCGCCCGGCCTGCGCCCTGGATCCCCCCATGACACGGCCCAATTGTCTCCCCAGCATCCTGGGTTCCCTCCCCCCCGCGCCCGACACCCGTGCCCCCCATCGCCCGCCTGCGCCCTCCATCCCCCCGTGTCGCGTCCCCATGGCCTCCTGAGCATCCTGGGGCCCCCTCCTGCGTTCCCTCATCGCCTGGCCCGCGCCCTGGCTCCTCCGGTGTCACGTCCCCATTTCCTCCCCAGCATCCTGGGTCGCCCTCCTGCCCGATCCACGTCCCTCCATCGCCCGCCGGTACCCTCCATCCCCCCGTGTCACGTTCCCATTTCCTCCCCAGCATCCTGGATCCCCCTCCTGCCCGACCCGTGCCCCCCATTGCTGGTCGGCTCCCTGGGTGCCCCCATCGGCCGCGCCCCCCATCGCCGGCGCGCCCCCGTCACCCGCGCGCGGGGCCTCCGGGACGCGGGGGCGCGGGCGCGGGGCGGGGCGCGCAGGCCGGGGCGGTGCCAGTTGGCCTCGGGGCCGCGTCTCCATGGCAGCGCCGCAGGCCTGCCGAGCCGAGTGCCGAGGCCGGGCAGGCCGGCGCGAGGAGCCGGAGCCATCGATCGCGGCGCGGGGACCGGGAGCCGGGGGAGCGGCGCGGCCTGCGTCCTTGTCCTCGCTCCGCTGTCGTTGCCCCCGGCGTTTTATTGGCAGGAATTCTGGATTGCTGCTCGTGTACTTTCGCCGCTGCTGCTGCGATTGCTATTAGCATTCTTACTCCTAATAATCGATACAATTGCTTTTAATAATTTAATGTTGTCGCGGGCATCCTCTCTCAAAAATAGGTCTGGAATTCACCCACGTCGCCCAACCGGGATGGGTCTCCATCCTGCCATGAAAATTAGGTCTGTGTCCTTGCGCACCCACCTCCAGTCATGCTCCAATCACACTGTCGTGTGGTGGGCGTCCTTTCCCTCCCCGGTTTCCTTTTTACGGTTTCCCCCGGTGCCAGTTAAGAAAATCGACGTGCCGCCCTCCGTGGAACAGTGACCCCACCTGTAGAATGCGCGTGCTGTACGAGGACGCGGAGCACTGACCAGATCTGACTACATGCCGGCCGTGCATCTGTCTCAGCACATTTCAAAGCACTTAGATCACACGTAAACAGGGCCACAGGAGAAATAGTCTATACAGCAATAAAAAGATGTCTGGAAGGAAACCCGTATATTTGATCGTTAAGAAATATATTTCTAGGGGCCGGCCAGTGGAGTAGCTGTTAAGTTCCGGTAAAGGCAGCCCAGTTCGCGGGTTCGGATCCACAGCGGACCTACGCCACTGTCAGCCATGCTGTGACCCGACCCACATATAAAGTGGAGGAAGATCGGCACAGATGTTAGCTCAGGGCTGAACTTCCTCAGCAAAAAAAAAAAAAAAGAGAGAGAGAGAGAGAGAAAAGAAAAATATATTTCTAAATTTCTGATATGTCAAAGAGGAACTCACAATACAAATTTAAAAATATTTTAATTGAATGATGATAAAAATAGAGCATATCAAAACTTGTGGGATGCAGTTAAAGTCATGCCCAAGGGGGGAATTTGTACCTTAAAAGCGTATACTAGAAAATGTACACACATATGGTGCGTATGTGGAGTATGTGGAAACTGTCTGTGCTATCTTTGCTATTTTTCCATGTATCTAAAACTGTCTTAAATTAAAATTTAAAAGTTTATTTAAAAATAAGTGAAAAGAGAGTCACAGAGGTGAGAAGAAATTTGCAGTACATATCATTGATAGGGGACAGTGGGAAGACAGAAGTCACACCAATGATTTGATCAGAAAGAAATTAATAGAAGGAATTGTTTACTAGGTACAAAGTTGTTAACTAGGTAACTTTTAGGATAAAATAAGGCCTCTTAAGTGTCTCAGTACTTAAGTATTAAGTAGCAAGTGCAGGAAGCCGCTACCACCTCAAGGGCTAAAACCGAAAAGACAAGGGTGGAATTATGAAAACTTAGAGACGTAGAGGGACACCATGGAGCAGAAACTCAGACTTTTGAGGAGGGGACGCTGGTCGCTGGAGCTGGTGTCTGCCCTAAGAATAGGGTCGCAGACCCTGAGGAGGGGGCGCCTGCCAGCTGCTGCCTCTGAGTGGCTGCAATGTGATAACATGGATTTTGCACTTGTTGGAAAAACTATAGAACGGATTGAGCGGCTGCTTCAGGAAAAAACGTGAAGAATGATTCTTGAGGGAACTGCAAACTGACAGGCAGCCGGCAGGAGGTGCAAGGAGGGCGCCAGCTCCCTCTGCCTCCTCCAGCTCCCCTCCAGCACCCCTGCCCCCGGGCTCCCTCAGAGATGCTGGCAAGGGGAAGGTGAGGTTTGCCGAGTCCGGGGCCCTGCCTCACAAAGCAGAATATGCAGGATGTGTAGATCTGTGTTTAGTGTAAAAGGTTTCGGATGACAGGCAGCAACGTCATAACTGGCACCATCCTCCTGTTTGTTTACTCAGCTTCCATTCATACATTTCTACAGACGTTTGAACTTCCATATAAGAAAAGCAAAACAAAAAGCCCAATTCTACATTTCTGCCTACAAGGTGCAACTACCTTTCCTACAAGAGCCAGGCGGCCTCACCCTCTCCCAACCCGAGGAGCTGCAAGGTCCCACCAGGCGCTGGACCCTCCTCAGGGTGTTCACTGCTCTTCGCATTCCGCCCCTTCTGTCTGAACACTCTTCTACCTGAAACTAAATTGCAAAACGCATTTCCAACAAAACTAGCTGAAACTAATAAGGGGAACCAGGAGATAAAAGAAGGGCTAGATACAAATATAGACACACTTGATGGGCAGGGCATAGGGATCGCTGTCACCCTCCTTGTCTCTGTAACAGGTGCAAGCCTTTCCTTTGCCCTCAGCAGGATGTCAGCTGGCCAAGGTTTTTCTAACCAGCGGGGTGACTTAGTTCATTCCTGAAGGGCGTAACCCCCCATCATCCTGTTTATTTATTTATTTATTTATGGTCGCTGTCGCTTTCCGTTAACTCTGACTATTGGTGGTAGAAACACTAACAGGCACCGGGAGTAATCCCTGGGTTCCAGACACTGTTCTTCCCGCCCGCGCTGTGAAGCAGTGACTCACTTTCTCCTCGGCAGTGGGATCACTCACCTCAGCCAGTACTGGAATCCACTGCTGAGGGTCAGTTGCTGGTATTCTTACTGAAACCGAAGTGGGTTCCCTCCAGGTGAGTTAAATCAGACTCTCCGCCAGAAGCAGTTGTCTCACAAAGTAAGGTGTATTTGCGGCAAATAGGAGACCATGCAGGATCATTTCCAGAGTCATGGCGTCCTGGAACAACGGGAAGCAGGGACATTTATTTCGGATGGGAATGAATATTCGAAAGGGAGGGGTGGGTGTTCGCTTGCACAGGCTCAGTTGGAAAACATGCTCCCACACACACTGCAGGTTATGGTAGTAAGGCCTCAGCTCCTCCTGGAGAGATCTTAGCACTAAAAATAAGGCAAAGGTCACAGGTGTAGCTCTTGTGTCAGGCTTGATCAGGTCCGGGGTGGTTGGTGATGGCATCTCCTTAACATAACAAAAGGAAAAAGAGCAATGTGGAAAAACAGTTAAATGCTTCCAGTCTCTCAGGGCAACTAGTGGTGACAGTAAGAGGAACCCCAGATGTCCAGGTGGCAGTCTGATCTTCCAGATCAAAGGGGCCATTGTTGGATTCCCTGGTGGACCCATTCCTCCCTCGAGAACAGAGACTTCTAAGCCATCAGAGCTCAAAGATGTGGGGTAGGATTAAAACCACTGGGAGATGTTGCCGGAAGTCAGAGGAGCCACGCCCACTTCCACTCTGGTTCCTGGACCCCTGAGGTCTGGCCATGGGGGAGACAGCACCATATATTTGTCTCTGGTTCAAAGCACACACTTGAAGCAGAGACCCCAAATGTTCATGGTGTTGTTCCCAAGTGGTGCTGTACCCACATCCCCAGGAGACCACTCCACTCCTTGGTAGGTGGGCATTCCAGGAGACGGGGCATCTGTAAGACCAGTGACTTCCACATGCACACGCCCATTGTTTCACTTCTTTTGTGCAGGAATGGGGTCCCTGCTCAGGAGCACTGTGGTGCGGATGCCAACCTTCCCGTCTGCCCAAGGCTTTGGACTCCTTCTGCGCCATGCCGGTGAAGTTCTGCCATTTTGGGCTCATTAAACACAGGCCACTGTGGAGTCCAATGTCAATCACTCAACAAAGCGAACTCGCCATTTCCAGCTGCACAAGCTACACACGAAACCCGGAATCTCTGGGCAGGGCGTTTACCCGAGGCCATTTGGCTGGATCCAGTTTACGTTCTGTCCTCCTTGGTCTGATGCTCTTGGAATCCATTCCCACACACACGGCCCTGGGTTTCTGCCAGTGTATACGAGTACGATCTTTCCGTTCTTCGAGTACACAAGCGATTTCCTCTTGGGTTGGCCTTTCCTCTGGCCTCCCAGGAACATGCTGAGATCTGAACCGACATATGGATCTAGTGGCAACAAGTGTGTGGGGGGTGGGCTTTGAGAACAATAGGCATCTCCTTCCAAGGCAGTTCCCCCAGGTGAGGTTATCACCGTGTTTCGAGTTAATTCTCTTGACGAGAGAGGCTCAGAGTACCTGGAGGACGGAAGATCCTCAGCTTCATCTGAGTCTAACCAGATGCCCCTTTCCGAGTTTCAGGGTCCCACTCCTTCCCAACCAATGCCACACGTTCACAAGACAGACTTGGCGAGGCTGGGGATTCAACTGATGTTGCAATTCTGCAACCCACCAAAATAATTTGCTGTCTGCTATTCAGCGATATTGACCTGGTAGCCAATCGTTTAGGATTGTTGTGGAAACACCCTGGTTTTCTGACCATCACTTGAGCTGAGAGTTCAAAGCCCAGAGCTTTCCTTCCCTGTGCACCTCTTCCAGGGCGCTCAGAACATCCATCCCACACCGCAGACCTTATGTTGATCACTGCTGTCCAGTGGCCAGGTGCATCAGTGTCCCTGAGCCCTCTGCTCTGGAAGCACTCCAACACCATCAACCACGGGGAGCAGTTTGATGAACGCGATGCCAGTGCATGCCTCGGATCTGGAATGCCCGTCTCACTGGCAAGGAGGAGCTCGACCTTTAGTTCAAACCCTTCACATGAGCAAGCTGCTCTCTGAATTCCACATGTGAGCGTCAGCTTCTGGGGACCCCTCCTGGTACCACTTCAGCTATCAGTCAAGATCCCAGGAGGAGACAGAAAATGCACCTGCTACTTGAATAAAGAGAATTTAAAATAAAGAATTGCTAGACAAGTATAAAGCTGTTAGCCAGATGGCTGAAAGCACAGAGCTCTGAGCACCATGGAGGAAGCAGCTGCCCCTCAGGACAGAAGGAACAAAGTGTAATGAAAATGTAGACACTTAGAGATGGCCCCATGGAGCTTTGAGGAGGGGCCCTGCTGGGCATGTGCTGGTTCTCTGGGCTGGAGGAGAGGCCTCCTGGACCCAGACCCAGACGTCTGAGGACAGGGTTGGTGGTGCTGTGCCGAGGGCTGAGTCATGGTGAAGCTACCCTACCAATGTTAGGAAACTGCCAACTGGACTCAGCAGGGGCTGTGGGATGGAACTGCCACTGCCAGGTGGAGAAGCATGGCTGGGGTCACTCACAGGAGCAGGAAACAGGCAGGAAGAAGCCGGTCCCTTCTTCCACCTCCTTTCTCCAGCTTTGCAGCCTCCCAGCAGCTCCCCTACTGGCAGAACCTGAGAGGAGCTGTGGGCAAAGCGCCCCCAGCAGCACAGACCCAGCATCACAGACCCAGCACCACAGACCCAGCATCACAGACCCAGCACCACAGATCTAACATCATAGACCCAGCATCACAGACCCAGCAGCACGGACCCAGCATCACAGATCTAACATCATAGACCCAGCATCACAGACCCAGTATAAAAGGGTGGGTTTGGGGCTGATGGACATAACTTAGAAACTGGTGCAGGTCTCATGTCCAGAATATAAAAAGAATTTCTGTGATTAATAAGAAAAAGAGAGCGACATCAGC